ATATTAGAATTTTCATTTCTTAAAATTTTACATAAAAATGTAATGCTACCCTGACTGTCGGTACTTCTTACCGTAAATTGATACAGAGTGTTTCACAGTATAGTACTATTTTATTATTATTTCTAACTGGTAAAATAACATTAATCAACGCTGAAAAAATTTTCGAATTATTTTCATTTATTAATTTAACGTAATAGCTATAATAGTAAACGGAATTGAAAAAAAATATTTATTTACTTTGAGTCATAAAGTTACTACAATACCAATACGAAAGTTCAAATGCTTATTTCCTGTTAATGAAGAGATGACAAGTCCTAATTCTATGATGTAACCCACCCAAAGAGTTTTGGCGTGTAAATATGTACAGTTCTTATTTTTCTAGGAAACTAGTAACGAGATAAGGGAGTTATGTCTGGCACTGAAGACCAAGCGGAAGATAGAAGAAGAATCTTATGAAGAATCTTTTTTCAGTCACAGCGGCAACTCCAAAACACAAACACAAAACTGTTTTCTTATCACTAAGCTGAAAGGGCTATTATTCCAATGTGAAAAACTCCCTTTTAATAGATGTATCTTAAGACAAACTAGATCAGTAAGTTTTGAGAGTAAATTGTTTGACCTTGCAAATAAATTATCGTTTAATTTGTCATTACTCGTTATCGTTTTCTTTTTTTATTTATTTGTTTTTTTCTTAAAATATAGGTGGCACCAAATATGCATTAATATTATGAAAGAAGCGGGAAATACACTCGAGTTAAACGTTTTAATTCTGCTGACGGTATTTTTAATACCAATGGCGGTTGCATCATTTGAAAATTTCTTTTACGAATAATTCTAACTTTTAGTTACGGGATCGGTCTTTGGCTATTTCTATCCACTTTTCCTTAATCTACATTTAGCCATCATCTGGAGTTTATTTTAGTTAATTTTGTTAAAAAGGCATATGTTTGTAGCACTTTTTAACACATGCGCTCTTATTACAATTCTAAAATGAAATAATTATAAGTTTATTCTATCCCTACATGCATTTTATTAATTTATTTTTTACTTCCTTGTTATTTTCTGCTCTTTAATATCGTGAATGTCTATAGCTCACTCTAAAATTAGACAATTTCATTTATTTTATTTAAAAATCATTTCATTAAAATTTGGTAATAATACATTGTTACTTTGTTTGATGTTTACATTGTTTCTTTGTCATTTTGCTTCGTAATTATTAATATCATGTTAATTACGGTGTGATTTTAATATTTACACTCTTCCTGAAAATTAACATTTTTGTAACATTACACGAAAATAACTACCACTGCCGCCACGCATAAACTAACCCCTGACCACGCATCTTCTGGAAAATTAAAAGAATTCAGGGTATTTCATGCTGTGACTAGGTTGAAAAGCTAATTTTTGATCATAATATTTTTGTCAATTTACTAAACTCAACTGTAAATTAATGCTTAGTTATCCATTTTTTTTAATGTCTCCTTATATTCCAGTAAAGATTGGTGATCATAAAACTAAATTGGTGAACATAATTTCATTGAATTCTCTGTTATCAATTTCGTTGTTCAAAAAATTACTTTATAGCAACAACAAAAAAATTGTTTCATGTAATAAATATTGGGATATGGAGCAATGCTCAGAAAAATTTTATTGATTTTATTAAGTACCAGGTCATGTCTACTTTTCATAAATTTCTTCGTTAGAAAAAATAGAATCTAAACAGAAATTTTATTTACAAACGTAATAAGCTTGAAAATTAAAAAATTTTTTAACCTTATCATATTGAATTAAATTTGCTTCAATAATCTAATCATTTTTAATTTTATACATTAGGTAAAAAAAAAATTTTTATTTAAATAATTTTAAATGCCTGTTTTCGCAGCATTTTATATAAAAGACCTCAGTTTAAAAGTTGAAATAAAAATAAATTTATTTACCAAATTTTATAGTATTTTAATTTAAAAAAGTTTTTTACTAATAATTTATTAACATTAAACAGTTTAATTTTTTTATATTGTAATAACAAATTGTCAAGTTTTTCAATTTTTTTTAAAAAAAAAGTTCTTTTAGGAATGGTATACCATTATAGTGTAGAGAAATAGTATATACACAATTATTGTCAGTTTTATAGGTTTTTTAGACTTTTTTAAGACTCTTTAATATGATTTATATAAAAAAGTAATTGAAATATATATATCATTGAAAATATATATATCTATAAAGATTTACAAGGTGATCCCAAAATTTTCAACAATTAATAGAAAATTGTTTAAATGAAGCACGATAAATAATGTTCGTGTTTATTATGACAATAGCTAATGGATTTTCCAGAAAGACATATAGTTCAAAAAAGTTTCTTTATCTAAATTTATGAATAATCGAAAAAAGTTTGCTCAATTGTGATTAGATTGATTTATTAGATTGATTTATTTAAAAACGTAACAAAATGTGGAGCACACACAATTTTCTAAAAAATATTCATTTCCCAAACATCATAATCATAAATCATTTACATAGCAAAACTTTTTGTTCATATAATTCTTCTTTTATCACTTATCATTTCTCATATTCTAACATGTAATTGTGGAAAAGAATATTTATAACATTGAAACTGAAATTATTATATCTGTTGAAGGCATTATAATTTGGAAGAATTTAATTTTCGTCAAATAATATTTTTAAACCACCTTTTTTCATGAAATATTAGGAAAGATCGTGAACAGAATACAGATTATAGTGAGATAATTAATAACAATTCTTTCCTACTTAAAATATGATCTGTAAATTGTTCTTCTGCTCTAAAAAGCTAAAAGTCATGAATAAAAAATGACGGTTAGCGCTTGAAGTCACGAAAGCACTCACTGCAATTAAATTGTCTTTATTAAAAAATGTCAACAATTGAATCGAAAAGAAGCTATAACTTCGTTACACTTTATTTCTGACAAATAAATTACTAAAAGATACTTGGTTTTCTTTCTGTTAAGACATACGGTTAAATAAAAAAAATTGAATTGCTATAAAATAATATTGAATAACTTTAATTTTGAATTAATATTTTATTGAACAGAAGAACTATAATTTAATTTTTTTGTGCAGAATTAAAATTAACTCAAAAAACATGTACGCACAAAATATATGTATTATGTATTGAACATAATTAAATATTTAAATAAAATTCGGCTCCTATTACTATTTAATTTGAAATATAACGAGATACTTATATTATGTAATGATTCATAGTACTCGTTTATGCATTTTAAATGATTAAACTTCTGTTAAAATAACCTTTAATCTTATAAAACTATAAAATTAAATACTACTACTTCTTTATTAATTTATAAATTATAAACATTTTATAACAAATTAAAATAAACAAGAGACTAGTTTTTTTTAATTAAAGTTGGAAGGACTTTAATATTTCTTGCGACATTTTGTTTATTTGGTGGAGTCCCACATGAATTTTTACTGAATTATAAATGATTATAAATCATTTATAAATTACTATTATTATTATTATCTTAGAATGCCAATTCCAGTTTTTTTTCGAATTTTTCTTACTGATTTTACATAAAATAAATACCGTTCAACCATTACATCGGAAAATTATCTAAATCTCTCGGTACTCTTGATCGAATTTATTTGGAAAATGACAAAAAGAATACGAGAAATAATTCAGATACCACCATGTATAACATCTTAACATTTATATTGAAACATTTAAAAATATAAAAATTTTGATTCAAGATATAATAATCTTTCCCCATTGGGATTGATAAGATGAAATAAATGCATCGTTGTCATCGTTAAAAAGTAAATTTACTTTTTTTATTTCTTCTTTTATTTGTTCCTGAATTTACCTTCAAATTATAAATATTTTACACTTTCTTATCGTAAATGATCCCTAATTACACGTTCTCAAGAAAAATTGAAGTAGCATAGCAGGTAGCAACTGTGACGCTAATAGGTTACCCTCAAATGAAAATGGAATCTTTATTATTCATGCTTTCATCAAGATTATCCTTAAGTTGTCTATTTAGCTAAAATCATTATTAATCTAAATAAATTGAATTTGGAGTAGATTTTTCTGAAACCATACGATAATGTGCAGCTTTAAAATTTGCTTAATATGTATCGATAAAAAAAATCGGGTAATAAGTAGATAAAATAAACAATATTATAAAAATTATAAAAACGAAGACCAGTTTGAGTGAACAAAAAAGGCAGTAAGGTAATAAGTTCTCAAAGTTTAATTTGTTCACATAATAGATAGCAACCTATTTTAAATATGTACACATATTTCGCTATATCAATCTATCAATTTCACTATAGTGAAATTGAAATTGACTGCCTTGAATTGCAATTGATTGCGTCTATAGCACACGGAGAAAAAATTCTGGTACAATAACTGTTCAGTATGGTATTGACATTTCCGGTTAAAAAAAAAACTTAATTCTGATTAATAAAATCAAAATATAAGGCATTTGAAAAATTCATTTAGAAATTTTTCCGTTCAAATAGTAAAGGTTTACTGGAAATCTGGTTTTCAAAATTGTATTTCTAATTACCACATATTTAGTGAAACATTTACCAAATTTATCACATAATATAAAACCTCATTTTGTTACTATTTTTACCAAAATCGTGACTACAACGCTTCGGTAAAAGTTATCAACCTTTCTGGTGTTCCCATAGAGCCAGAAAAACTGTAAACTTTACAATATTCGGTAAGTTTTGATCATGCTTTTATTTCTGAGTGCAGAATTGAAACTGCATTTCTATACAAACCCGTTAAAACTGACTTTGCAGAAAACCAAAGTGAAATTGATTTCCTATATATTTCACTTTATATAAAATGAAATTGAAATTAATTTGTCGCTAGTATAAAATTATCAAATATGGAATATATTGAAACATAATAAATGTTAAAAAACTTTGCATTCATTTTTAAACAATTATGATAAAATTTCAGTCATGAAAAGTTAAAAATAAGTAACACTTACAGAGCATCTTGATGACATCCTTTCGAGAAGCCGTGGACGTCTTCCGGCAAACTGATTTTCCTTGATTGTTCAAAACTCTTCCCTGCAGTTTAGAAGAACCATTCAAGTTGGTTGCATTTGATCTTATTTCATGTTTCCTTCCCATATCGGAGGATCTTTTCAATTGCAAACCAATGAGGACATAAAGTATAATCAATACAGTACCAGGAAAAAAGAAGAATAAGAGAGTGGTAACCTCAAAGGAATGCTGAAGCTTCTTTTCGTCTTTAACACTGCACATAGCCGATTCCAGAGCTATGCTTCCATCATACTCTCTTTCGTAGATGATTCCAAGCTGATATCCGATTCCAATGGCAGACAGAGCAGCGAGTATCCAGATAGCTATTATAAATTTGATAGCTCTGGAAAGACGGGACATTGTATGGGCTTTTAATGGATGACAGATAGCTAAATATCTCTCAACAGTAAAAGCTGTTATAGTCAAAATAGAGGCATTTGTTGATGCCTCTGAAGTCCAACCACGCACAATGCAGAAAATTTCCCCTAACATGTATGGGTATTTTGACCATAGTTGACTTATGTCTTGTGGTAACCCTAGCAGCAAAAGTAATAAGTCACTTATTGCTAAGCTGAAAAGGTAATAGTTTGTAGCAGTGTGCATATATCGATTCCGCGAAATGACGATGCAAGTGCACACGTTGCCGATGATTCCAGTCAGAAAAATGATGGTGTACACTACAGTCATGGGAAGGGCATGGGGATCTTGTTTATCACCCATGTAGTCTCTCCAATCTTCGAATAGTTCTGTGTCATTCGACGTTACACTGAAATTCGTCTGCAAGCAACCAGTGGAATCAGGTGATTCGCAATCCACTACACCACTGTCTAGAGATAAGTTTTCCATGATTTGGCTCAACCAGAGTATGTCATTCGATTCACTAATCGCGTCATTCTTTTTCACACGGGATTCTGGTATCGGCCCCATCATAAAATTCACTAACAGGTGCAATAAATTACAAATGAAAACAAAAACTCTAAACTACTGAATTTAAAAAAATCTACTCGAAAGTACAAATTCTAAATCGAATAAAGAATTCTACGCCAAATTAAAAATTCTAATGTACTTTAAGAATTCAACATAAAGTAGATTTTGAAATATCCAACTGAAACTGATAGTCCAATTTTCAGTATTCTGTCTCCTTATTTTGTTCTAATTATCACAAGTCGAAGATAAAATCTTTTATAATCTTGAAATAAACATATATTTATTAAATATTCTTTCTTCCGAGGGAAAATTTAATGTGCACATAATATTGCAATATTGTAAATGAAAGAATTTTTAAATTTTATTTGGAATCATCTGTGATATTTCCAAGTTAGACGAAAAATTCCATTTTGATTGATAACAAAAGTTAAATTAAAAATTTTGGAAAACATATTGCATTTCCATGAAATATAACTTGCATAGAATTTTTAGAGCATTAACTTTAAAAAATTCAAGATACCTGGTGGTGAGCTTAAAACTCGTGAAACGTATTCATATATTTCAAACACCTTGATCAAAGCTTCATATTCATTTGCAATAATTATAGGGTATCACATTTTTAACGTTTCTTACTCATTCTTTTGATATATATACTTTTCTTAAATAGAATTGTTATACTGAAAAATATAGAATTTTTTTCCGAAATATCTAATAGCAAAAAAATACCTGGCAATTAAATATTTTCCTTAAAATATGAATCTATTTCGCTAACTTCAGTTTTTCAGTTCCATGTTTATAATAAGTTCAATTTTCCATGGTGTATTATCCAAACTGATTCAAAATAAACAATTACAAGATGTCGTCTGAAGCATTTTTTTTAAGCATACGATAATTTCGAACAGTTTGCAACTATGAACAGAGGCAATTAATGTACAGAAAAAATCAACAAAAATAGAAGGGTTGAAAAAATCGGTTCAGATTAGAATTCAACATTGATCGCCGGAGAAAAAGATGATCACGAGCTGCCTGTCACCGCGCAAACCGCTTCTCACAAACGGAGCTAAGATCTGGCAGTGACTCCCGAAATTATTTCGAAGAGCACATGGTTTGGCTCCGCTCACTTCTGATTGGTTGCGTGCTCCGGCGTCAAATACCACGTGTGTTACGATCGAGTAATAAGCATCCTCTCATATTTCCTTTTCTTAATCGTTTTGACTCTTATTTTCTTTTCTTAGTTTTGATAGCGACTTTTTTTAATTATTTTTTTTAATATGAAATATTTCTCTAATATTTTTTTCTCATCTCACTGAATAAATTTGTTCTATTTGTGTTCGTTTAATCATTCAGGTTAAAAAAAACATATATTGGAGTGGACATATTTTTTTTGTTCAAAAAAAAACGTATAGATTTCAAAAAGTTTCATAAATTTTATTTGTAATAAAAAGCTCACTAAAATTAAATTATTTTAATATAACAACATATTTAAGTTCTTGAAAAGCATTATCTTTGGAGAAACCTAATAAGTGCTTCATTACTTATTTGTATCAACATTCAGTGTTACTTATAATACATTTTTAGGTTTTGAATAAATATTTTTTTACAGATATTGATATATAATTTTATATTCCTCCTTGTTTATTTGTATCATTTTTCCTTATTAGCTAGAAAACTCTTTTTTTCAATTAAGCATTATTTTTGGTAACTTTTAATTATCGGTATATAATTCTTCTTTCAACTTGTAAATTCTTCATTCCTTACTTGTATCAAAATTTGTTACTAATTATGCCATTCATTAAAATTTTTAAACAAGTTTTTTTGGTGCATTCATTAATTGGATCACAATATCTTCTCCATTATTTATTTGAGTAATCTTTCTTTAATACCTACATTAAACTAGCTGGGGGAGAAGGTAAAAAAATAATCAGAACTGAAAAACGGTATGAAATCAAGCACAAAACTAAAAAGCATATACCAACAAAATTAATTAAGCTATAATAATTTTTTTTATTTGCCATTATTCTTTGCTCTTCGTGATTGCACGTTAATAGATTAAGCGAAACGCGTTTTGAATAGTTTATTTAATCAAGATAATGATTAAATGTATTCAGTATCATTTTGCATGATGCCGTTGCTGTAGATCATAGGTTCTCAACCTTTTTAACGTTGCCGCCCCCTTGAGGAGCAAAAAACATTTCAACGCCCCCTTTGTTATTTAGAGTATGGGGACGGAGGGACGTGTGCTGAATTAGAGGAGTCAAGATTTTTAAGAAATTTTTTTTACTCTTTAAATTTGTTTGGTTTTTTGAAAAAGAATAAATTAACTCGATAATTTTCTCACGGCAAGTAATCGCAGTCTATTTTTTATGATAAAAACAAATACGTTTAATGAAAAAAAAATATAACAAAGAAACCTCTTCTTAAAAAGAATAATTTATTCTTAATTATATAATTAAAAAAGCACCTAAAATAATTTTTCTTACACTAAAAAGTAGTATCAATGAAACATTCAAGTAACTATGTTAATGAGATGATTATACTTAATGGTTCAGACAGCAATTCCTTAACGCTCGATTCAATACTTTTAGTGAGATTAAGACTCAAATACCCTCGTTGCACAATTTCGAGTCGATTTCTCCCATTTGTGACAAGATCGTAACCGCACTGAATCCACGTTCGACACGGTAGGAGGCAGGTAAGGCAATTAAAAAAAAATTTATGATAGTCTACAGTCGTCCAGGATAGAGATGACTCATGTTACCTTATAGCAAATATTCTGTGAGACGATCACCATTTCAAAGTTTCATTAGTTGAAAGTTCGACCGATTCCTCGTAAATCTGCTGTTTCAATGTTCACAAAAGGGTTCATAAACCATAAACCCATTGAGGGATTTCCAAGGAGCAAAACGTCTTTAAAATGGTCAGAAAAGTACATGTGCAAAGAGTCAAGGTGTTGAAAATATTTTCGTGCATCATCAGAGAGAATTTTGTCTTTTTGGCTGAACTCATTCCAACCAAAATTCTGCTCCACAAAATGAGTTTTTTTTAGAAAGGCAGAAAATAACTGATTTTGTAGGAATCAAATTGAGCTCGTCGCCTTGAAGTTGTAAATTAACTCCATTAGATTTTACAGATAAATCAGCCAAAGTCTTTCGTAAATTCTAGCAATCTGTCTCTCAGACCTACATTCAGAGCCGGATTGCCCATTAGGCCAGACTATACCAGGACCCCCAATGATTAGGGGCCCCTTAAAATGGATTTTTTGAAAATAAATTTTAAAAAATTAAGAAAAACAATGATTTTCTTTAAAAAAAAATCACTTTCAAATATATATTAATAAAATGCGGTAATTTTTTTACTTAATGTTAATGATATTTATTTATTACTTAATTTATTTTATTAAATTTAATTTATTATTCATTTTTATTTTAAATGTGCTTTCTTAAATGAAAAGATATATAAATACTTTTATATTTGAATAAGTAAAAAATATACGAGAAAAAAAAAATTTAATCTAAGGGCCCCAAAAATTTGAATGGCCTAGGCCCCGCGCACGCTTAATCCGGCTCTGGCTACATTTCTGTTTTCAAGGAACTCAAGCACAGAGTCAAAAAGATTCCAATACCTATTGAGACAGAAGCTTTTGGAAAGCCAGTGAATCTCGGTGTATAGTAGCAAGCGATTGAATTCCTCATTGTTTTTCTTAGACAGTTGTCTGAATAATCAATCGTTGAGAGCATTACTGTGAATTTTGTTCACAGCAGATGAGACATATTGCAATGATTGATGCAAATGGTCACTGAGATTTTTTCCTACTAAATGCTGTCTGTGAATCACGCAGTGAACAGCTAAAATATCTGGTACCACCCTTAACATAAGGGTGATAAACCCACCATTGCAGGAGCCTATCAGTGGCAATGGACAAAATATTAGCAAGAGGAATGTTTTTCTCTTTAAAATAACCTTTGACAGTATTAAAAATAGATTTAACCTCTGATATCTACAATCAAGCTTCTTGCAAAAAGCATCTCTTGAATAATTTTCCTACCTTTATAAACCGGACATATGCCTACAGTAAAGTTTACATTACCTGGCAAGGTTGATTCATCAAATTGAAGGGAAAATTCGTTGGATATCAGAAGTTTGCATAAAGAAATTTTAACGTCTTCAGCCATCTCATCATTTCGTCGCGCACTGAATCGTTGCTTATGGAATATTTTTTTATTGCATTGGATGCTGCTGGATCGTGTATAACTGTTTCACTTTCTTGACAACCGGCAGTATCAACTCTACTCCGATGGTATGAGCTTTCCCATATTTAGCAATAAATCTTGATGTGTTATAAGAAAATATTAAACCATCGTCGCATTTTTGTGATGAGGTTGCTAGTAACCCTGAGACCGAAGGTACCTTCAGAAACGTGAAAAAAGATGTTCGTGAAAAATGACAATCTATATTTTGTTTGTCAGGAGGAGTTTTTTGCAAATGTTCCTGCTAACGGTAAGATTTCATTACCTTTATTACAAAGAAAACACTTGGGTAATGGAGAATTTAACAGTGAGTGAACAAATCCCAACTTCACGTACGTGGCACTGTATTGATGACACTTCTTTTTGTCAACCGACATTGTTGGTGTCAGCAAAATACAAACGATGAAAGAAAATCAAATATTTCTCAAAATTAGTATAAAGAACCAATTCGCGCACGTACCTGGCCAAATTAATTATGAAATCTAATCGAAACTGGGGAAAAAACCGAAAGGAAGTTAACGAAACCATTATAAGAAACACGGGTCCAATCAACTGGGTCCAACATTCATACTGAAAGCGCGTGTACTTCAATTTCCATCAAATGGCTTGAATGAGTCAGAGACAAAAACTACGGACACATGCACTAAGCTGTGTTAGTTCGGATCGAAGAATAGGTGTCGTATAAGTTAGTTTTATTGCTGGTACAAATGGTGTATCGGATAATCTTTATTTATTATATTAATTTAATCTTTTTTTTTCTTTAATATTAATCTTAGATTAATTTTATTTATAAAATAAATCTTAATTTAATAATTTTATTTGTAAGTTTTAAAATTAAATTTGAATGACAAATATGCTCATCGCCCCCTTACCGCCCAAAACATACCCAACGCCCCCCTACCGCCCAAAACAAGTTCACCGCCCCTCAGCATACTCCCACCGCCCCCAAGGGGGCGGTATCGCCCCCGTTGAGAACCAATGCTGTAGATCAACTTAAGATAAGCAAAATCCCTTTTGAGGGAATGTAAGAAACCTTATTCCACAGTTTCTATATTAATTAAGCAGTATAAGTGCACTTTTAATAAGTACTGTATATACTAATACATCACATTACACCTATATTAGCATACTTGATTCTAATTAAAACTGCACCAATTACAGCAATGTCTATTACGAAAATTAATCATTAATTATTAATCATTATTAATCATTAATTATTGATCATTAATTATTGAAGTCAATAAGAATGGACGATTTTTTAAGCTTCTCCTAAGAAGATTAGTACTATTACTCAATAAATTTTGCTTTTCTGAACATAACTTTTTCTTCATTTCAATTACCTCTAAATGAGCCGTGGTAGCTCGGGAGATAGAGAGCTAGCCTTTCAATGAGGTGAACCGGGTTCGAATCCCAGCGATGGCTGGTCGATTCGAATTCCGTAACCATCACGCACCAACCACAGTGCTGACGTAAAATATCCTCAGTGGTAAACGGATTGTGGGTTAGAGTCCCTTTGTCGTGAGGCTAGCCGTGGAGGTTTTTGTGGTTTTCCGTTCCATGTAACGCAAATGACGGAATTGAACGTAGGCACTCGTGAAAAAAATTTGTTCGACTGTTCAACGACGGTTATTAAATAAATTACATTTACCTCTGAATTTTGATTAATTAATTTTATAGAAACACGTTGTTAATAAATAGTAAACAAAATAAAAATGTGGATTCGGATAACTATATAAATACTAATTTGGTGACATAGTTCCCCAATGCTCTTCACGTTTATGTTGATCATTGAGTTTATC